TACAGTGTTCTGAATAATTAAGTTTGATAAATTATTTACACGAGCTTCATCACCTTCACTGCATGACGCGGAATACATTTCAGAAGGTCGCTCTGGCTTTTTAGACACTTTGCAAGGTTTTGAATATATTTCATTATTATGTACATATTTATATGTTGAAGGATTAGATGGAGGAAGCTGAGGTGCACAAGACACTTGGGGTGATGGTTCAGGAGTCTCAACAGGGCTGGGGGAATCATTTTCAGGCCTAATGCAGGACCCATAGAAGGAATTACGATTTGTGTTGACTGAGGCAGAGTTGGAGGGTTTGCTAATGATCCCATGGAATGAGTGTCTGTTTGGATTTCCTACACCTTTTGTTTTGTTAGTAGTGGCAGAGGAAGAGGATAATGAAGGTGTGGATTTGGGAGTTTTTGAGTGCCTATGCACATTGCTCTCGGACATTACTTGCGGCTTGGTGTCAGTAGAGTTAAGCGTGTTATTGTTAGCCTTGTCAGCCTCCGAGTCTCCTCTCTCTTCGAGCACCTGCAACAATTTGGGGAGAAACGAGCTCAAAGCGCTGCACACTCACACAGAATTGAAGATGACCAATGAATCCCAGAACACACTTAAATATTACTGCCTGCTAAATTTTGTAATACAACTGTGTTAAAGAAAGAGACAACAATTATTCTCCCTTATACTGAATTTCCTACCTACTGCAATACTAAGACCTATGAGTGGTATCTGAGCCAAGCACTGTAGTCCACTGGTATATTTGTATGATTTTTAACTGTTTACAGACCTTGGCTTTACCTCTTTCAGTTGATCAGCTAACATATCTCTATCTATCAATATTTAAGTGCAGGTCAGAGCCAAATATTTCTATTCATACATTGCTCCAAGTTAACACCTTTCTTGTCCACTTATTCCCTCATTCTTTATTTTTTTATTTTTTTATTCAACTTTTCCCTCTTACCCTCCTCCCTTCCATCTTACTGTGGTATACTTCCACTTCCATCCACTTCCTCTCCACACGCACATATCACACACTGTTCTCACTACATGATCACTACTTGAAAAATCCATATCCACTGTTTACACTCTCCCTATTTAGCACTGCATCACCAACATACATCTGTATAAACTGAGCACTAACATATCATGTTACCACTTAGAACAATAATACTCATCACTTTCTTCAGTAAACTAGTACAAAGGGAAAATAAACTGTTGCCAGATCAAGAATGAGTGTTTAAGAAGAATTCTGGGACTCATGGGTTTAACTTACACCAATACAACACATGTTTTGGACAAGGTTAGCAATAGTGTTTCTTTAGGAATGCTAGAAAGCTGTTTATGGTATTTTTAGGACTTGCTACACCCAGATAATCAGGGTGTTGGTGTGCACAAGAAACACAAACACCAAGATAATCAGTGTTGGCGTGTACAAACAACACACACACACACACTCAGAAAATCATGGTGTTGATGTTCACAAGAAACACAAACACCAAGATAATCAGTGTTGGTGTGTACAAATAACACACACACACACACACACACACACACACACACACACACACACACACACTCAGAAAATCATGGTGTTGATCTGCATTAGCAACACACAAGAATACAATGAAACAAAAAGCTCTGAGGTCCAGGATCAAAAGATGAGAGAACCACAGGTTACACAACTCCTCCATTACACATGGCAACTTTTATGGACGTTTCCGGCATGACTGCTGACTTCACATTCACTCTTAAAAACACATACATACATCTTATTCATTTTAATACCATGCCACTGCTATCATAAGAGAGTAGTACTTGACTTTAAGAAGTTTCATACATACACCCTCACTGATGGTATAAAATAAAGACTATTTTATTAGAGACAGAAGCTGTGACATGCTACAGTGTGTTGTGACCTCACCGAATATCTAAAATGGTTCTGTTGATTAATCTACTAAATAATGAAAATAGAGATAACACACACCATAAGTTTATTGGTTAAATAAAGAGAGGATGTAAGTGTTTGGGTTAACAACGTATAAACCATAGACCCAGGTAGTTTATTCCTTAACTCCTATCACTGCCTGTAATTTATAAGGAAGGAAAAAAATCATCTAAATGTCATTATAAAAGCTTAAAGATAATATAAAGGTCAATATACGGTGTCAAAAGCTTAGATATGCTGTTGAAAAAAGTGAACCCAAAAGTAAAATAAGTTTAACACTCATTATTGTCTTAATTATATTTTAAAGGTATTCTCTTGACCCTTCACAACAAAAGGAGGAGTTCATAATTTGGGAATAACTTGTTCATATAAGGATTCACACTTGATTAAAAAATAAATAAATAAATACATTCAAAGTCTATAAAACAAAACATGACATCTTAGTCTGTTTTCTTTTTCTAACAATATCCACAACAGATGAAAGTAACAAACCTGAACTCTGCAAAGTAAAGAAATTTTTTTATTAAACTTGACGACTTGTCTGGATGGAGTTAGTGGCTGTGACAACGTACCTGTCTGAGGGCACTTTCATATCGCTCCTCCAAGTCATCAGTCGGGTAAGTTCGGTTCCTCTGAGCATGACGGCGTTGGTGCTCCGCTCTTAACTGATGCATCCGCTCTGACCGTGATGGCTCTCCATCCTCTCCTCGCATCTGTGGGGGCTGTTGTTGCTGCTGCCGAGGGGAAGAGTTTCTTATAATGTTTGCAATATTAAAACTATACCGTCAGAACTACTTTGCAATGTATATACTGTACTGTATATAACAAATATTTAAATGCTTTCCTGGACCTTTTCTTCTATTTCTCTTAATACTATCTTGATAGGACTTATTTTTAAATTAATTGATATCTATTACCAAGGATTCACTATTCTATAACTTCATACCTAATTAATGGCCACTATTATCCAGCACATCTAAAGGGAAATGAGCTGTGTGAAAGCTTACTTTAATCATGTGAGAAGAGATATCCATTCATGTAAAGAGCTTTGATGCTTTAAAAGTCCTACCTGAGAGGCCCAAGAAGTATTCTCAATGAGGCGTCTGTACTGCTCCTGCATGTGATCGTGCTCTTCTTGCTGTAACCGTCGGGCAGCAGCTAGTCTCTCCATTTCCGCTCTGTCCATTTCCGTACGACCCTCTCCTCTCTCCCCCTCTCTATCACACTTAATTGGCAGTCCACTGGTATTATCCACACTTTTACGATGCTTACCAAATCTGAAGATGTAGAATGATAAAACTTATTATATGAAGTGGTTCAGTAGTTTTGAATATTTTGGAAAATTACAGAAAATAATTCAAAACTGCAATGACAACTGAAACTACTAAGAATTTGGCAAAAGGTTCAACTAAGGAACAATATGCTCAAGGGAGGATTACACTGCCTTACATTAAATCATCTCTTCCCCTTAAAGACATATTACTGGTATGTTTGGAACACTTACTCTACAACTTTTTTATTGTTAATAAAAACCATTATAATATATATTGACATGTTGACGGAAACAATCATCGCCAATACAGGTAATTACCATATATATTTGACCTTCCTGACATGATCTTAACTGTGAGGTTTTATCATTTCACTTAAACACAATGTACTGCTTCCACTCTCTTACTAGATTACTGAATATCAACAACTTTATGCTGTACAGTACTAATACATACCTGGTGGATATTAATATCAAAGAAAATATATAAAATTTTCTTTGGATAAATGTGTTAACATCCTAATATGGATTTACTAACCACATGTAACATGTTGAAAGCCTTAATCACCTTGAGAACTTTCAACTTCCTAACAATTATGATTCAGAAAATATAAATAATAAAATAACATTAATAAAATGCAAAGATGGAAAGGATATATGAAGAAAAAGAACAAAGTTTAAGACAAATAACATCAATAAGTAAAGGGTTGCAGCTACACCTTAATAAATATCAGTCTTACCTGAACATGGACCCTAGACCTTTGAAGAGCCCCGGTTTCTTTTTACCAACTTTCTTGTGCTTGTCGTCCGCCGCAGAATTTACCGATGACTGTCGACTATTACCTCTCCCAAAGCCTGAGCCACTTGACTCGGACTCTTCCTCTGCAACTAAACAAGCAAAATATTCTTCAGGTGTGAGATTCCCCACTGAGCATTGTGGGATGACATATAAAGAAAGATGTAGACCAGCAAAAGACACAAAAGTTAATCAACATGGGTATTAGACATTCACAAATATATAGCATGCATTGATAACCATACACATGAAGAATGAAATAAAGACAGCATAACATAAAACATTAAACAAAAACAATGAGGAAAATAATAATCAGTGCCACAGTCCATTTGCAAAATCGTCAAACACACACAAAAATAAATTGTGCAGAAGCAGTGCATATATCAAGTCATGTGTTACCCACAAGAAACAGTGAATTCATCATCACCAATTCCCAAATTTGACATGTCAGGTGGTGAAGGTCACACCAACAGGGAACAACACCATATTCCATCCAGGTCCCATCAGGTCAAGTGATGTCAAGGCCAAGTCCAAGCAAACGTATGTAGGTAGGTATGTAGGTAGTCCATGTCCAAGAACAATGGATGAAGGATCAGGTTGGAAGGGAGAGAAAAATGAGTAATTAGCATCAACTTGGTAATTCTTAAAACTATGCAGAACTCTACTTGGATTTTCTACATACAGTATACGTAAACAAAACTTTAACGATGTCAACAATTTTCACCTGTGATTTACCTGTGTACATTGCAGGTTCTCATGTATAAGACTTAACGATTTCTCATCAATATGTCGCAAGGATTTGTATTTTCCGATGTCTAAATACTATAGGCACAAATTTACCTCAGCTGATTGAGAAGTGTCTGGTGTACAGAATAAATCTTTTACTACTGAATATATTAGTTACTTCCAGCAAAATATTTTATTTAAGGATATTTACCCAGACATTAATGTGTTCACTGGCATAACGTGCATTAGTCTCCTGTATAAAAGCTCACTTACAGGCTTCTTTTAGACTCATTAGAAGGTGAAGTGAACTTAAATAAACAAAACCCAATTTTCTAATCTTTATGCATGTGTGTGTATGTGTGTGTGTTGTAGCCCTGAGGATAACCTTAGCTACATTACAGTATTAGTCTGGTGAAAGAAGATTAGTTCCTACACCCTGTCGTTCAGTTGATCACCGAGATCATGCTGGTTAATTATTCACTGTCAAGTTAATTATGGTGCAGGACGTTGTTTTGTAATTGTAAGTCAAGGATTCAAGCAGGGAAAAAGTGGTCAATCTGTCATATGCCAAATTACTTTTAAAGGGACTTCATGCAAATTCACTTACTTATACATTATACTCTATTAACAGAACTGGAAAGGTACAGTGTAGTACAGTACAGTATAGGCATTATGTGTACAAACTGTGTAATTTCTAACACAATGTAATCTGAGAAGCTGCGTCAAAAACTGTGCAAATAAGCAATACAAGAGTGTAAATTCTGAGGAAATTTACACTCTGTCCTAAGAAAAAATTTACTATATAAATCTTAAGTGTACTGAACCCAGGAATCTTATGTGTATGGGTGAACAATGGAAACTTCAGGGACGTACAAGTTGAAGACATATAAACTAGGTAAATATTTTTTTTTTAGTCCTTATAGTTTAAAACATACAGGTAGTTCTGCTATAACGCGATAATTGTGTTCTTGTAAAATATCGTGTTATAGAAAATCGCGTAATAGAAATAACAGGGCTTATGGAGAAAATAGGGTTAGGTGCAGATTACTCGAAATCGAAAAAATTTAGTAGTTAGCCTAACACAAAGGATAGCACAGTCTAAATAAATGTTACATTCATATCTAATAATGAAATCATACAGTAAATTTAACACTTTACCTTGAAAAAATATGAATGTAACTTGATGGGGGAGAAGGGTGATTTTGAGGTTGATAACATCGAGCTTCTCTTCAAGTGTTATATCCTTTCTTTTACGATAATCACCGGGAATTCTATCATCAGAACGCTTTTTGGAGATATTCTTCTTTACCATATTCACAGTTAATACCACAAAATTGGAGAAATAGTAAGCAAAAATCGAGTTATAGCAAACAAGCGTTCGCGTTATACAAATATTGTTCCGAATTCATAAACCGCGTTAGAGCAAATTCGCGTTATCAAAACACGCGTTATAGCAGAACTCACTGTATTCCAACAATTTCTTTAATCCACAATCCTGTACATGATGACAGACAAACTCAGACAAACATAATGAATAACAGACTTATAAACACTATAACAATAACAAGATACATTATGAGATGAGTCAGATAAAGTACAGTACCTACTACAGATATCTGAATAGAGTCAAAATCTTAAGATGTACTAAGGGAAGAATTATTCAAGCTGACAAAATAACTAATTCTATGACTGCTTCTTATCTAAATACATTGTACAGTATAGATGTGTGTTAAAAAAGGCTCTGTAAATAAATGTTCGTCTGTCAAGTTCCAATTCCCCTCATCACATTAGAGGTGGTTATAAAGGGGTTCCAACGTTCTCTCTTAAAACTTACGTGTCTCCATCTTGTTACGCAGGCCATTGAGAGGAACATCATAGGATCGGTCAACAGCGGCACGAAAGCTCTCATTGCAGCCTCGCCCTCTTGGTACCCGGCCTGAGCCCATCCTATGCCCCTCTTCCTCTAAGGCCATCTGAGTAAGAAAAGTTCTCCCATCAATAAGAAACAAAAGAGTAAACAAAATACTAAAATCTCCTTCTCACTGACTGATCACTAGTATGAAAAACGCAGAGTTGCCTACAGTAATTACGTACAAGGATTATTATGGAAAAATTAAAAATCTTTAATTAATTTTCAAGTTAAGTCAAATACAGTACAGAGAACAGTAAGTGGAAATATATCAATGAAATATTCAAAGCACTAATGTTTGTTAATACTAATTTTTAATGCAATAATAATAATAATAATAATAATAATAATAATAATAATAAACTATTCTTGCACTGTGTTTTTAGACTCCAAATAGTGTTTAAGGTGACCCCAGCTTGGAGGATATAATTACCCATGATATACTTTGGTACAAAAACAAAAGGCCATACATAGCACATGATGTTGGAGATATTGTACACAAGACATAGGGCTACAGCTAACTGAGAGCATAATACATGGGACTAGAGGTAATTGAGAGCAAAAGACATAGGGCTAAAGGTAACTGAGAGCATAATACATAGGGCTAGAGGTGCAGTACTATGGAAGTCGATCTACATAACATTAGACTGGTGGGTATGGTAAAAAAGTTTCACCCCCAAGACACAAGTACTCACCTCCTGAACCATGGTCTGCAGGGACTCCAGACTAGAGGACTTCTTCATGCCCAGCCCAGGACCAAAATCTAACCTCGATCTTAAGGTATCTGGGAAACATTGGTAGATCATGGTTATTGTATGTACACACAGGTGGTAAGGCTATCAAAACTTCTTAGGATTCTTATAACAGTTACACTTTACAGGTATATATATTTTTTTGTATCTTCTCTCATGTATGTACAAATTAAGATTACTGAATGCTGTTAAATAATGTTAGCAACATACACATGACAAGAACAGAACATTTCACAAATTCATGCAAGCACATATCTGTGAATATTAGTTTAAGCCTTATTTTATAAATCACAGACAAATTAGGTAAATATATGCAAATTTTAATGTTTTATCTAAATATTATAAACATGTGTTCTCCAAGAGTAAATTTTTACTATATATGCAGTCAGTACATCTTAATGAAGACCTACATGCTAATAATGTACAACTGGCTGGGATAAATCAACCATATTCAAGGAATGTGTTGATTACAACCATCGACTTATCCATCTAGGATGAAGGAATTTACGGACAACAACCATAGATTTATAAAAATCCATCTTGTATAATTCATCTGGTCAACAAATAAATTGCTGGAAAACTATTCACCTTGAGACTTGATATAATTTATATTGCTCTGAATGTCAAGATAGTACATCAACCTCACATTAAACATGGTTCCATCCCTTAACCCTTTAGTGGGGCCAGGACTCCCCTCAGCTGAATAAAATCATCTGGCGTTAGTTGGAGCAAAATACCTAAGGGATACTTTACCCTCTAAAGCGTTAATGTGGGGCTGACTTACAAAATGTCACCTTAAGTTACACTAGAAGAAGGAAGTTGAACTACAGGCAGGAGAATGTGAGGAGAAAGACCAAATAACCTGTTTATCTAGCAAAATAGATCCTTTAAAAGATACAGACATAGATTCCACAAATTTACTAGAATACAGTTTGGCATCAGAGTAAAAAGTGAAGAAATAAAAATAAAGGTGGCAAGAATCCTGAACAACACATGTTCTCCCTGAATAGCTGTCAAACAGTCTTTATACTGCACCTGCCAAACAACATGTGTTCTAAGTCTAGGTCTAATACAGAGGTGATGCACCCTACTGTTAGTGAAGTGTGAAAACTTAAGAACTATCTAAACTGCCTTCTTCTTTCACCGGAACCTTTAGTATATAACGTTAAAAATACTTTAAAAGAACGATAATCCTAAGCTCCTGATTATAAATTACAATCATGTTACACTGAACATAACTTTATATTGTGCAGATAACATAAACTGAATTCCAATGTCGAGAATTGCAGATACATTAACTTCCTAGAATATTAAAAAAAGAAAACATTTCAAGTTCTTGAAAGGATTTCCATAAACCATCATAGTTGTGCTAATATATCCAGTACCAAGAGCCAGAAGACCCTCCCAGGTAGCACCAGTTCCCAACATTTACCCTGTGATGATATGTGCTCATGCGAAGGGGGTTGGTGTGCGTGATTGGTGCGCTGGAGAGTTTGAGAGGCTAGAGATTCATCGGACGAGGCACGAACCAGCTTCCCCATCACAGGTTCCCGACTCAACAATTCTCGGTTACGGGAAGCTACACAGACAAACAATCAAGTAATTTTTCAGTTATGAGTCCCTGAGTCCTTATTATACAAAGATTAAATAGTTTAGTCAGAGAAGCAATGAGTCTGTTTTGTTATAAGAACATTAGAAATATAAGAAAAGATGTTAATGATATAATATACAGATATAATCTAAATTACCAACAGACATTTAATCACAAGTATATGTACAAGATATTATGTTGAGTTAATTCACTTTACCTTGAATATATGTAGCTTAAGTACTGACATAATCTATATGTAACTCTTATATTACCTTTCCTGGTGATGAAAGACAACTGACAAAGTACAAACTATTTTTTAATGGCAAGATAACAGTGAATTATATATATATTTTTGAAGTTCAAGAAGTAACTATTAAAAATTACTGTTTTTTACACATGCTTTATATATTTTTGGTGAGAAAATATATCCATATAAGAACAGAAACTTAGTGTGTGTTAAGCTTTGAGTGTGTGCAGAGTGCAACTGTGTCTAAAATTCTCACAAAACTATAAAATCAATAAACATAAATACAGAATATTGATTTAGTGAAGTGCCATTATTATTATTAATGTAACCTACAGAACTATAAGATATGACAAATGGTGATTAATAACAGCTACATCATGCATTACAATAGCCAACAGTTTACACAGCATGTGAAGTGCATAAGCATAAATATAAACCTTAACATGCATTCCCTTTAGAACAGCACAAGCACCAGTGCTGCACATGACTTAAAAAATAATTACTACAATACTCCCCACCAAGACCATTTCCTGCATTCACAGTGGTGGCAAAATGCACAAAAGTGTTTACCGAAACAAGACAAGAACCATTCCATGCACCACAGTACTGAGCCGTTAGTTACCCCAGTTTGAGATCATGGTGGAAAGATCCTGGCCAAAAGTGGTCCGCTGGTTCCCTCTACAGTAATGCCTCTCTAGACTGCGGGTAACTGCACTGAAAGGGCCACGAGGGTGACCAGACCACTGCCCCTTGGACGTGCCCCTCCCCTGGTTGCCACTCAACACTTCACAACCCCCTCTACTTGTTTTTAGGTTTTGCAACATTTGCTGTTTCAATTGAGGTTTAGTTCGTACTTCACTACTTGTCTGATTTGACTTTAGTTTGTTTTGATTTGACTTGTGTCGAGGAAGTGATGATGACTTTGCACTGTTTATTGGTGATCGCGGGTGTCCACTAGTCATCGAACCTCTTCTACTTTCTGGGTCACCTTGATTTATATTTTTCTTAGGAGGCTGAGACTGTTGGGGCACCGTAGGAGGGGGGTCACTGGGGGGCACATCAATGCCAACTTCCCTTGACCCAGGTCTTAACTCCTCCACAGCTCCACCTTGAGGGCAGACACCATATCAAAGTTATCTTTACTCCAGGTGATACAAGTTATGACTGAGACATGGAGCTTTCAACCTCTGCCTTGAACATTTTACACCTTGTGTACTGGCCAAGTCAGAAACAACGTCCAGTTGACAAAAGTGCAAAATGATAAAGCACTGTTTTGCAATTACAACCTGTATTGTGTACCATCCTATAGGCTAACCAACTGTGATTTCGTGAGCAGAATTCCAAATTTTTAATCATTTCAAGTTTTGATTTCAAAGTATATCAGTTGTCTGCATCTGTCATGACAGGAAACAATCAAGCTAAACAAATACATTAGACTTTACATGTACAAATGCCACTCATGACAACATAGTTGGTGCACTATTTTGCAAAGACACGAAACAACCGAAGAAGAAAAATATAAATATTAGCTGTTGTGAAAGTTTGTTATGGAGAGAGACTCAAGATATGATGTACTGCAGTCTTGTATTACAATTAAGCTATTTGAATAATTGTAGCCATTGTCAATTTACTCATAAATACTGTAGCTATTTCCTTCACTACTAATTAACAATAACTAAAACTAAGGTATTCTTGATCTAAGGGTTAATATAAATACTACATAATAACACAAAGGAGCAACTCAATTGTCACAACTATTCAGGAATGTTCAACAGCAATTTCATAATATATAAGTAATCAAAATGAACATAGATGAGTGTTATTCTCAACAACTTTATCTCTCTTATATACTGTACACAAAAATTTAATCAACAGGATGAGGTAAAAGTCTGAGTCTGCCTTATTGAATCCTGAACAATTTTGCCGAGATTGAAGTCGCTCACAGCACCATTATAAGCTGAACTAGTTATAAAACACATTAAACCAGCACAATAAAGCGGGAGCTACTGTCTGTCATTCTGTATAGGTATTGCTGAAGTTAAAACAGTAGTTGTCACTCATTTAAAGCAACCGACTGATTCTTTAGGCATTTTTCAGGGGAATCACAAGACTTGAATGACTTTTAAAAGCAAGGTTACTCAGTAATGACAAACAGTGCATTAAGTATTAATTAAAGATCCCATATATCCCTGTATAAAATTATAATACTGTATACGAGAGCTTAGAGCTGCTTGAACACATCTACTACAGTTACAACAGACATGAAACCTACCGTCTGCTGCACCTGCTCCTAGTCCTTGGCTGGCGGCAAGTTTCTCCTGAGCCAACATCAACTGCTTCTGTTTCTCTCTCTCCTCTCTGTTTGGTAGTGACACAAACATGTGATAAAAGGTGCTAAAATTAACACATACGAAAGATACACTTACAAAGAAAAATTAATAGTAACATAATAATTAAACAAAGGAATAAAGATACTTTAGCACTGTCTATATTTTGGTAAACAGCTGAATATATCTCTCTCTCTCTATTTCTCATATTAAATTACTCCAACAATGTAAAACCAATGGAACTAAAAGCTCATGGATAAACAACAACGGACACCAATAAAATATTTCTAAATGTAATACAATTGCTAAATTTGTTACTATAGTACACTCATTCCAAAACGTATCTTTACGGATGGGTTCAATGAATTTTGAAATGAACATTACGACTCCTGTTGTCTTGATAAGGTTGTCAAAATCCTTCGTCGGTCGTGTCAGGAAATCATAAAGATACTTTTTAGAGCGAGTGTACATAAATAAAAACCAGAGGAGTTACCTTGCTTTTTTATTACGTTGATATGTGTCAGTGTTTTTGGCATCCAAGGTGGCATGGCGCTTCTCTGACATACTTTGCCTACCAAACTGATCCCGGGAGAACCCTGCCACATTCTCTTCTAGGGAGGTTCTGCAAAAATTTTTAGGTACCATAGATAACATAAGAGAATTTTAACAGGAATATTTGTGTCATTATCATTTAGAGTATAACTTAGTCTTGTAGCTGGGGAAACACTACCTCTACCTAGACAATTTTTATGCAAGATGTTTATTGTCGTACAAACCCAACTTGACGCACACTATAAACCGATATGAAGCATTATGAATCAAGGGGGCTCAGGGTTCATTTTGTATACAGTATTGTACATCCATGTTGAAGATATGAGCAAGAATGGATGACTATTTCTAATAGCTGTCTAGTCCTTTCCTGTACTTTTCATAATTGTCTGACACCAATCTCCTCTATTATTTCCCCTCTTCTTTCATGTTTCTGGGCCCCTTCATCACACAAGCCTAGGACTGGAACACATACATTAAACTTTGATGTCTCTAACTACAGCACATTGTACCTCCACACTCAATGGGTTAACAAACAGCACAGGGTTTTGTAAGGTCTGTCTTATGCCAGCAGTCTGCAGTAGATAACCATGAGAAGAACCATCAATGAAATAAACACAATGACATTTCCAGTTTGGGTGAAGTCACTTCCAAGCTCAAACAACAGTCCACGGACAAGATGGTCTGGACCACTGTACAATATGTCCCACCAAAAATAAGGTTAATGATTACACATCTTTGCATCTTTCACTTGAAAAATATGTCCAAACCCCCTCCACTCCCTTCACATCAGCACAGACCAAGCACCACTCTCAAGTGAGCATGGGATTCATTTAATGCTACTTATGCAATACATAGTTCCACTGCCACTTCTGCTAGTGCAGCTTAATAATCCTCCCACTGTAATGCAAGACCATGTGAATGACCTACATTTCAAGAGAGGTAATGTGAGGGACAAACTCCCTCCTTTGTGCTTATAAATTAGGCCAAGGAACACAAAGTATTCACTAAGTGTTTCAGAAGTGTGAAATATAATGTACAGTGGGGTATGCTATAAAGAATGGATTCTACTATGAATATTCCTATAACGAACGGTTTTACCTATAAAATTGAGAATGCTATAACGAACGAAACTCCTACAACGAACATTTTTTTTTTTTTACTAATTTATTGTTTTTTTATTACAAGTATTAATGATATTCTTTATTTCAGGGGTTTAAATGCATATTTATGCACTTTTTTTTAAATTTTTACAATTTGATATTATATTTTTCAGTGTTAAGTGGTTGTATTTGGGGGCCTGGAACGGATTAATCCTATAATGAACGAATGCTATAATGAACAAGGTTCTAGAACCAATTAGATTCGTTATAGCATACCGCACTGTAATTTATACTGTACAAAAATAATATAATCAATGAGTCAACCAAGAAAATAATAATACAACTTACTGGCTGGTATAGGCATCATCTGTCTGACTGGGATGGTCACTGTAGCTTCCTGTGGAGGCCCCAGGACCATCTGACCCACCAATTTGTCTAGTGATGAAATAATAAAAGAGGAGATTAATTTTAATGTTCACAATTAGTAAACTGTGGGATGAGTACCTGCTGGTGCACTCACTTTATGGCTCCACGTTCAGGAGTTACTGATTTCCATACTGTTAACAAGTACTGTGACTTCAGGTTCTTAAAGTAAAAGCCAAAAGTTCACAAGAAAATTTTACATTTCAGTAGCTGGAAGACTCCTATTATGAGAGAATTTATCTTGCGATCTGAAACTTTTATTGGAACAAAATAATCACATGCTTACTTCAAGTACCAGTGGCCTTCATCCCTGAAATTCTCAGAATATTCAGCAGTAAATAATACTGAATATTACTACAAAAAGTGGCAACTACAGTCCTCAATAACTCGCATCAAAATTATAAGATGCAAAGTTCTTTAATTAAAGTAAATATCTTTACTCATGTTCTGTGAAATACTGAATAAAACTAGCAGCAATTTTTATCTGGGATTAGATCTTATTTACATCACTATTTGAGATAAATTAAAATACTGAAGATAAGCAAAAACTTTGAAGTGAAACCTTCTCCTGGGTCATCACAATGTTTCCTATATACAAGTTCTTTGGTTTTTTATATATTTTATTCAAATACATTCATCTGTATGGTATTATGCCTAAATTTACCTCACTATTCAATAAATTTACTTACGTTGACAGATGGGTCCCAGCGTCGTCATGGATGATGAGAGTGTCCCTAGATGGCAGGTTAACAGTTGGGGAACCAAGAGGATTCATACCAGGAACTCCAGTTGTTAATGACTCGCGCTCACCTCGCATAACTAACTGTTGTAGCTGTGATGTGTTCCAAGTGTCGTGGGTTGCCTAGGGGAGGATTAATACCATTTTATATAACAAAGAATAGTAATCAGACATACATTTACCCCTGCATTCCCAAAGTATGTAAAACACATGTGATTGTGTGTCCCTTCCCGGTACCTCTGTCAACCCAGAAAAAATAATACTGTTACACATTTACAGTTGTTTGGATAACATGAAAAAAATTAACATCCTATTAAGAAAGTTGTACTGTACAAGTTGTATGCCAGAAAGAAATGTCAGGAACAGAAACTGACAGACAGATCAACATAATGCAAAAGAAAAATAACATCCCTGCATTTATTTAAGAGTTTCATCATCAGTGTTTTATGCTTGGGTAAGAAAAAACAACTAATGAATTCTACCTATTCTAGAACAGACAGTTTTAAAGGCTACTACCTGTTGTAGGTAAATTTATTACTGTAACTGTATTATTTAATTCCCATGTCAGATGTATCACCACTGCTTGCATACTACAATACCAATACAGTAAAAATAATAATAATGATAATAATGTAAAGATATTTGCAGTTTGGGGAAGACAGAAAGAAATAAGACTGCTAATATTTGTATCTCTAGTTTATGGCTCAAACAAGGATCCTTTAAAACTCCTAGTCATAGTGGTGGACACAACAATACAGTCCTATGCATCTAATCGATACAAAGACTACGGAGAATACAAACACTGTTACGTCAAGTTCCTTCAGTTGCTTGAGCTTATGATATGGCAACAAATAAAATGGTCAATATAAATATACACACACTCCAAAAAGTATCTTTACGGCTTTGTGTTAGACAATATGATGCACCAGGCAAATCCTTCCCAGATAACAGGAGTAACAGCATTCACTTTGAAATTCATTGGACCCCTCCATAAAGATACTTTTTGGTGTGTGTGTACTTCTGCTCTCTCTAGTAGTTCTGTACCTTGTAGGACCTCATCTCCACTTATACATCAACTACCATTACCTTATAGTAGCTATCATTTCGAAGCGCTCCATTATTGCTAGTTAATCTTTGGATGACTGGGTTCCTAACATCGAATGTGTCCATATTCGTAAATTCTCCTCCATCGGCTTCAGGCCAATCATCATACTGGAAAAAAATTTATACAGATTATTTGTCACAGAAAAAGGAACCTTGTTAAATGAGATATTTTGATGTGATACACTTAACTCCCTTGTATATGGGGTTCCCTCTGAGCTCAATAAAATCATTCGATATTAGCCAAATAAAATACTATAAAGTGGTGTCCCCATTGTGAAAGGGTTATGTCCTTAAGATCTGGAAATGTAAACAACTACTACACAACCGGTGCTGAGGGGCCATCAACTGTTGCTTAAAGTCTTAAATTATTATAGCTTTAAAGAAAGTATCACATTCAGTACTTTTAGAAAAAAATTGGAATACAGTATACGTACATCTTCATTTCTCTATAACATGAGGGGTGATAATATAAATATAATAGTAATGATACTAATGAAGAAAATAACAATACTGTAGTACAGTAATACTGTAATAACAAAAGAAAGACAAGTTATGAAAGAAATATATTGCCAGTATAAAACAATTAAATTCATATACAGTACTGATGGTAAAATATAACATAAATACTGTATCTTCAACACCTTTGAAAATAATATTTACCTTATTGGCATTAAAAATGACTGTTGCTTCCGAGGAATCAGTAACACCAGAATTGTCGGGTGTTGGTGTGGCAGGGGAGGACTTGGCCCCACCTAATGTCTCTGTACCTGAAGAGTTCGTCAGTAGACTGTTGGCTGACTCCCGACCCGATCTGTTAGCTGAGGAGGGGCTTGACCGCTCTTTGTTGTGGTCCGTTCTTCTGGCGACGGTAAGGGAGATCATACCTGGGGTTGGACCCTGGGGAAGACAACACTAATTTTATTACTACACAATGCACAAAATAGATACATCATACCATATGCTCAATATTGAGAAATATTTCTTATGCAAGAGCACACAGCTACTCTTTATCTGTAGTGACACACACAAGAAAAATCTCTATTTAAAATAAAGTCATCACATTCTAAGACCAACCTCTTGATGCATTGCTGTTCTAAGGGTCTTCATGGCTTCACTGTTAGGTTTGCCAAGAAGCGACAAGCCATTGATGTTGACGAGCTGGTCATTCTGGAGGAGTCGACCATCTCGAGAAGCCGCGCCACCGTGAATGACATTTTTTACAAATATTCCTAAGTCAACAGAGCCATTGGGACCTGAGCTTGTCTTGCCTTTCACACTCACTCCTGTTGGAAATAAAATCAAATCAATATTACAAGTTTATTAAATATTTGAAAGTGTAATACAGACGACATTACAGTTAAATATATTGTCTTTCAAAAATACTGTGCCGTCAATGGCAATTTCAACCGTCTCTCAATATTTGTGAAATACTATTGGAAATACATAAAACTAAATGAGATCAACAAACTATTTAAAATCTTTACAGTGAAAAAAAAAACATTATCTTAGTGCAGCTTTTCATACAGTTTGAAAGTAAGAAGCTAATTAAATGAATATACTGTAGTAGCATATCAGGATTTAGTTTTTAGGGGGAACAATTTTTTAAAGTTAGGAAATAAAATCCAACTGAAGTATATTGTGACAATTATACTGTAGTGATATTATGAGAAGAATATAGAGGCACGAGGAAGCTGAGGTACAGGTGTTGTATAAATATGAAGCATCAAGTCTTATGAGAATAGAGGTGTCATTTTTTTTTTATCAATTATGATTTAAAACTTAGAATCTTTACCTTCAAAAACTGTACTAGCACTTTGTGGAACTCCCTGCACACATACTCACACACGCACACACACACACACACTGATTTTCTAGTACAGTAGAACGTCAATTTAAAGCGATTCAATTTAAGATTATTGATTGAAAGCGACACCCACAATTAAGGACAATGTTTTAATTTAAAGATAATATGTCCTATTTTGAGCAAGTCAATCTGGCGGATCATATTTTAAAATTCGCGCCTTAATGTTTCCCTGGACACACTACACTGTCCTAAGGGCAAAGCTGTACTGCACATGTACTCAAAATAATGTACTTAATGATTACTAAAATTTTTGTCTAGTGCAAACTATAGCATGATTATATTGAAATTAATCACTACTGTATCTTATAAGAATTCCAGCAATGTAAATTATATTTTCCCAGGTCATTTCTGTGACATTTTATAAATAAAAAAAACTCATTCAAAAGGACGTAAATAAACAAATAAATTCTTAACTAGACCTTCGGCGCCAACTGTGAAACGTGTCATTGTCACCTCAATCTTCCCAGCCAGGGTTGGGTGGATATAGGCTGACAGTTTTTATCTTATATAATATCACAGTCTAAAGTTAGGAGAATATTATTTGCATTGCTGGAATCCTTGCAAGACAGTGAATAAATTGAATATAAATGTCATATATTTTGCACAAGAGATAAAAATCTTAGCCCTTTGTAATAAAATTAGTTAGAACTAAAATTTGTATGTCTATTGTAAACTATAGCATGTTTATATTCAAACTAATCACTATCTTATAAGAATTCCAGCAATGTTAATTATATTCTCCCAGATCAGTTTAGTGACATTTTATAAAAGAAAAACTTAGTCACTCTTCATATACAGTAGATAAATAAATAAGCACTAGACACTTGGCATCAACTGTCAAACACATCACCTCACCTTCCCCCCCCCCCCATCTTCCCATTAGCTGATGGCTAGTAAACAGACCATTTCACATCCCATAATTTGAGCTGTGTTGATTTATGAGTGTTTGTTTTAACATACTACCAAAGTAAATTATTCCATTGAAACAACACTTCGATTTAGTGCGAATTCGGTTTAAAGTGACCTCTCTTGGAACTTATCTGTTATATCGACGTTACACTGTACTGTATCAAAAACCTTTATCGGTTCAAATCTTCCAGCTTTATACGTCTTTGGTCTCTGGCAAGGAGAAACCTCGGTGATGAGAAATGACAATGACACTTATATGATCTCTCCTTGGCGCTGTATACCTTAAAAGCATTTATCCTTCATTACAGGATAAGTAAACAGTAAGTAAGTAACCAGTACTCACCCAATCCGGCTCTTTCTGAATCATGAACTGGAATTTCAAACATGAGGATCTCTCTTTGCTTCCAGGGAAACATAAGACTATCCTCCGTGGTTCTCTCTGCAGGCTGGTGGAACACAAACACTATGTATCAGTAACTAAGACAACAATGTGATCTTATAAATTGTTATCATAAAGGTTCTCTAACTAAGCTAACCTACTGATATTCAGGACAAGTCTCATGCAGTACAGTACTATGTGTCTATTTAGTCATTGTTTATCTATTGGTTGCCTTTTCTCTGCTCCCGTCTTTGTACATTAAGGCAGATCAAGACAAAATTTGGTCAATCATTAAATACAAAAGCGATTAATTCATAATGTGTAAAAACAAAAATAATGGATTAAAATACCTAACTAAATTTATTACAAGTGTTCATGTCTATCATGCAATACTGTAAACAAAAACAAGAACAACAATACATCTACAGTACACTCTTACTAATATCTAGACTGCTACTTAGACTGACAATGTTTGGCTCCAGTGTCCAGACAACTTGAATGTCTTCCTTTACACATTGCTCTTCCTTGACTACATCATTCACCTCTATGAATATCAATCCTGACAGATATCAAGAATTTTTTGGTTATAAGATGTGTCAGCTTCTAACTCGCTCTTGATTCAGTTGTCCATTTTTCAAATGTCACCCAGTACTTCTGCCTTGTCTTTTTACACTTCTCTTCTTTTACTCTCCTCTTAAATGAATTTCTGTGTAGGCAACTGTTTACTACAGTGTAGTAGCCAACCAAGCACACCCCATTCTCTGTACATACTTCAGGCAAAGATATCAAATCAAGGTTATTAAAACTGTGCCAATTATTTTTACCTATGTATGGTAGACTCATCAAACACATCATATATATACTGTACAGTATATACTGTGTATGTGTTCCTGCCAGTCATTCTTTGCTGATGTACAGGGTGGCCAATACACCTGATATAATGGCATAATCATACAAGCTATTTCAGGCAATGTTCATAAAATACAAGATAATGAAATTTAGTTAATATACTATCCTGTTTAAAACATCCCACACCAAGTACAGTATTGTAACAATATACAGTACACATACTGTACTGCATCTCAGTGTTTAAATTTCAGGCATCAGTTGGATGGTTACACACTACCCCAAAAATAAAATAAAAAAGGAATTGAACTGTACTCTTTTTATCTGTAAAAAATTGTGACTCATCAAGTGAACCAATATTTCACTTCTTGTACTTGATCAACACAGCCTACGGTAAGCAGATAAGAAAGCATAAAATACCTGGCAGAAGAAAGGTTGGCTGTCTTGTGGGTGGATGGACACCTATAACAAAATGTCGTGGTCAGTTACAGTCAATGCACCTAAAAATAAGCTGTCTAGTTGCATTTAGTCAACTTCTAAAGATGTAGCACTCACTTAACAATAATCATGCATGTCATTTTGTACCGAGCTAAGAGAGTAAGCTTGTAGCGAGTCAATATCCTAAAACTACATTACACGAGTCTCTCCACAAACACTAAGAATCTATAAATGACGGAGTAGGAGGCCAAGTCCTTTCTTTGATAACTTGTTTCTACACAGCCAAACAAGGTAATGAGAAGGTCAGACAAGTCCTTCATGTGGTGGTTCTTGGATAATATGTGGCACATTAGGGAAATTAATGTCATTATGTGACAAGTATTATTTTTTTTTAGCTTTTATGAGGAAGTATTTTTTGTACAATCCAAAAAATCTAATTTATCTGGTACTGTATGTGATATAAGGATAATTATATACTGATATCATGAGAAGTAAACACACGTTACTACCTCATGAACGTATGTTGGTATGATATTGAAAACAAATCATGATCCACTATTGATGTCTGGCTTTAGTTACACACAACCTTAGTTTAAGTTCTGGAGGATGACCCTTTAAGAGAGCAACACATTACACTGAACAGCAGATATCTGAGAAGAGTTGCCATATTGTTTTTTGTTATGTATTTATGCTCCACATTGGCCAGGTTCATCAAAGGCCTGGACTGGTTATCATCATCTGACCTGCCCTGAAAACCAGCAACCATCTCTATGATAATTTGTTTATAGGTGGAGCACCGCTACTACTAATGAATCTAAAAGCTACACCCGAATTTCCCGACATTCTCTATTACCTATACAGTATACTTCATTTGATGTGCCAAACAGACCACCAAGACAGACAAGGCACAACCAATCACCCTATCACTGTGTTTATGGATGCAGCGATGCAAGCAATAACAAGGAGGAAGCAAACTTGTTTACCTATAGAAGGATGGTGCAGAAAACATTTGAAGTAACAATTGAAAGCATGAAAAAGTGCTACTGTACAGTCACCCACAAATGTCCTGTTGCCTCTACTGCTAAACCACGCACCCTGAAATTCAGACTCGTGAACCCAAAGCAGTAGACACTGGTCCATTATTATGTCCAGAAATGCTTCGGATTCACGAGTCTGAATCTCGGGGCTTGTGGTTCAAGGGTAGAGGAGACAGGACTTTTGTGGGCGACTGTATATCTATCGGAGGTTCATGCAACATAATGAATACTTGTAATGAATAAGATAATTAAATTAATCCTCCCACAAGGGCTAGACATTACAAACATGTATTCTAAGCCTCTAAAGTGAGTTCTTGTCATGTTGAAACCTGTTTTTGACCTAGCATGAAACATGACACTATACTTATAAATTATATGGTCTAACAATTTTCTAAGTGTATAATGATTTAGCAATACCCTCATGAATTATACTTCTTACTCTAAATGTATGTTAAATAAGCAACTTCCTTATGAAAATGCTGCCCCTTTATATGTACAGTACAGCCTATAATACTATATACAGGTATTATGAATGATATTTTCACAATGGACTCAATTTATTTATATACAGCATATTTTAAGACTACCTACAGTTTCAACTAGTGTTAGTCTGTATTATTTTCATACCAATTGTCTCGGCAGTTTAGGGCTAGAAGGTTTGTCAGTTTCTGATGCTCCTTCGCCCGCCCCACTGCCTGCCTCTCCGTTACGTTGGTCTTGACGAGATACTGTGAGAGTCGCTGCTCCACCTATTGATATCTGTCTCAGTAGACCTGCCACCTCTGACTGACTGCGGCCTGTCACTTCGACACCATTAACTTCTAACAAGCGATCTCCGATGCGTAGTGTGCCATCTTCAATCGCCGCTCCCTAAGGATAAACAAAATAATGATGCAATATGCCACATCATACATATAATCCAGGAATAATAGAATTATTAATATGCCAATCATCTTAAACAATTTCATCATGACACACTAAAAATATGTGATGTAAAATGAGAGCATTAAAAGTTCCATTATTGTATCATACTAAACAAAGAATAAAAAATAAAAATAAACTAATTCTTACCTTTGGCAATATATTTTTTATATAAATCGGTGCTTCTCCTCCAGCCGGGTTGTCTCTCGTAGTTATAGAAAACCCAAGACCGTGTGAACCTTTGGTGAGGTGCACCGTCACCTTACGGCCGAGCTTGCGCGTGTTACTCTGAAGAATAACAGCCTGTGTACGGGATGATAGGGATGCTGGGGGAACTTTTCTGGTAGGCATGACGCTGGCCACTTTAGCTCCTCCAACCACTGCAACGCACAAAAAAAAAAATAAATAAAATAAGAAAAAAAAACATTAAAAAATACTCCTTCCTGAAGAAACTGGATTGAAATGTCTATAATTAATCTGCATAATTCCCAGATACAGTAAGCATTATCCTATCCCATTCTGACTTATTTCGGTAAAAGTACACTCATGAAAAATTATCAATAAACAGAAGGAAGCTGAAACTTTATTTTTTTAATTTAAATTCTTACATCTTTCTTCTCCTTCGACCAACTCGTTTGAGGAAAAGGTCAAGGATCCTTGGTGATGAAGGTTAAAGTCACGGTAGTCAGGTCTTTTTACCACTCGGAGGCGAAGCTCTGGGGTTAACATGGCATCTTTAAAAATTTCTTGGGCCCTGTTGAAGAGAGGAGAAAATTAGACTAACACAAACAACACTGCCATACTGATGATTGGCTTCATGAAACACAAAAATGTATAAAGAAGATTTAATAATAAAATATTGATTTATACTCGACATTTTATACTGCTTTGTTTACTATAAATTAAATTTATCTAAATAAATAGTTTCATACACACACATCTTACTTTTGGAATGTTATATTATTTAGAGGTCTTCCATTTATTTCTATTATTCTATCATGAACTTCTATTCTACCATCCCGTGCTATTCTTCCACCGGGCTCCACCCCTTCCACCAGCAGACCTTGATCGTGACCTCTACCATCTGTGCTGGGGATCACGTGGATCCCTAGTGGCCCTCGGTCATTACTTAGCACCACTAACAAGCTGCAATTTACAAAACATTATTAATTATAAGCACTGTATAATGTTTCTCCAATATCCTACCCATACCCAAAACAAAGGTACATCCCATCTTTACAACACTGAGACCTGCATATTACACATAAATTAGTACTTGTAGTTACTGAAAACCATCACAATTTCAGATTATTTTTTTTTAATTTGGCAAAAAACAAAAACATTGTACTAACATTTAGATTTTGAAAACATTCTATAAGGATATATGGAGACGTCTACTTACATGATGTTTGTGTCTTCGTGGGATGGATCTCGGGAGTGCAGTGGGGAGGAAGCCGACCCCCCTAGAGGTTCTCTCCGTCTGCCCTCACTTGCCGCTAAGGCCTTGTCTGCTGCATCTGCCCATCGAGCCATTGCAGGGTTGTCAGATAGTACCTAAGAAGAAAACATACATTAATTTGATACACAGTTTCTGTTATGGCATTTACAGGGCTTGAATGAAAGCAAATGAAGGCTTAATCTATGCTGCTCACAATTCTGGGAGGGATTATTTGTAACACCACACAAGGTATCTATTGCTGTGTAGGAAATTCAAAACATGCATACAAACTCAACCTCCTTTTGCCCTTCTGTATGTTTAAACAGCTGTCACAAACTCAAAACAATCAACATCAGCAAGTGTTGACACCACCTCCAACACTCAACTACTGAACAGCAAGTTTGTCTCATGGTCGTAAAGAACCTCACTCAAATTATCAACTGTTCCTAGATACAAAAACAAATATCCTTCACGTGGACAAACTGAATTAACCCAAAGTCCTGTCACAACAAGGTCTCAAGATATCCATTTGGTTTATCTCTATTAGTTCATTATATCACCCCAGTTATTAAGTTTCATTCGAGATAACCAATAACATTAACAGGGTTTGGAGGGAAAACTTTACCTGAACAGAGCATCTATTGGTGTCACGGGAAAATCTCGTGAAAGCTGTGTTGTTGGATTGGTGTGAGGACGACGAAGAGGAGGAAGGGGTTTTCTCCTCCCCTGACCCTTCCCTCTTTCCCCGGGTCTACCACAAACACAATGTCATCCTCGTAGAACTATGGCCGTCCTGCAAGACCAAAGTTTGTCGACATTATTTTATCGCACAATATAATAAAAACTACGCATCAATGAATATCAAATGACTTTCGAACTTGAGTGGTATCTGTATTTTAGCTCCCCTAACTTGTCACTGGTAATGGGTGGAATGTAGTATCTTCGAATCAGACCTCGAGCAATTCTTAACAAGGAAGTTCTTATATGATAAAGTTTAAGAAATACTGTACGTACTAGTCTAATGGGAGTAGAGTTATAAGGACCATCCCTAGCAGCAGTGTAAGGAGTATAATATGAGATTAAAAAAATGCCATTCTTTTACAATAAAAAAATACAGTGATTGGGAAAATACACAACTTAATTTGAAAAGTAATGGTTAGTTTAGTAATTAGAGATTTGAAAATGAGAAGCTTGCATGTACCAAACTGTATCTCTTGATTACTACCAACTATTTCCTAATATTGTAATAAACATTTTGACAATCATAATACTGTATCTCAAACTATAATTCTTAAATCATTTACCACTTCTGTAGAATGAACACATTAACATACCATAATTATTATTTGCTTATTAATGCTACTCAAAGGAATATTGCCTACCCAAGTTTCTTACATTTCTGTAACTAAAAAATTCCAGTGTAATGAAAAGTTAAAGTAGACACAATATTGTGAAAAGGAACTCACAATAGTCTTCATAGGTGTGGAGCTGGGTGGTGTGTTCTGGTCTTCTATAATTGGTGCTGCTGACCACCTCTTGGTAGGGTCAGGAGGGACACTGGCAGGTGGGATAGGTGACAAGCGATTGAGTGCAGGCTCACTCCCTCGCCGTACATGGAGAGGAGGTGGGGTGGCACTTAACTCCTCGCCCGTTATCTCGATGTCATTCGGTAAATGGGGAGAATTTGTGCTCAATATCCTGTATGTGAAGAATCATTAATAAAAATGCTGGTATGGAATGATTAATTCATAAAATTAACAATTTAACCTTTCCTTCATTGTCAAGATTATAGCATCAACAATAAGTTAATAACAAACTACAGTACTGTACTGTCAGTAAAGAACTGGATTATACTAAAGCTTACTTTTTTTAGATTTTACAAGCTGAAGATCAAATTTTTTAAATTCATTCTTAAAATTTGATTTTTATTCAAATCTTTTCATCGTACAAATGGGACATAGAGATGATGTTATAGAACTAAACGGAACAGCTCAAGATTAGACACCCAGCTTATTTCACCTGATGATTAAATACCTTAACACTAACATCACTTAACCCTCCCTCGATGCGGCATTAGGGTGTCTAGTCTTCAGGTAATCCAACTAAACATTCAAAGCCTTTCTCTGTTACTTCCCTCTACTTATTAGCATCACATATTACTAGTCCCCTCATTTCTTTATAGTTCAATACCCCCTTCAACTACCCTACACAAAGCAGGAATTAATAAAGATAACATATACACAGAGATAAATACCCAAAGGAAATTTATCTTATAATCCCATCTGGACACATGGATTAAAAATAGGATCTTTTTCCCAGCATCATGTTCCTTTCATAATGGTCAACATAATTCTTGTATTTAATGGATATATAAAAGTTGTTAGTTTCCCCTGAAGGTAAGAGGACCTACAAGGACCTTCTCTATCCTTGTAATTGACCTACACTCTCACTTCCCATGTTCCTGTGTACCTTGTAATATCAAGCGTGTTCTAGTTTCCTACAATCACGAACTCTATAATAACATAATGTGAGAACATGTCAATCTTATAAAGGACTTCATAACTCAAGTAAAATAAAATAAAAGATCAGATTACAGTAGTTGTTGCTTTATTAAGTTATTTTTCATGATTTATTAAAGGTCATTCCACTGGATCATTTGCATGCCAGGATTAATGCCTTGTTCTAAATAACCTAATACCTCTGAGGCAGGTTACAGTACCACGATGAAAGTTGAACTAACCTCTAGATAAAACTACATTTCACAAAAAGCAATAACTTGTACAACAATAAGCACCTCACATATCTGATCTTCTTGGTTTTCCTTATGGCCACTAATGAGTATGGTTTATGATTAATTCAAGAAGAAAAGCCTGAGAATGCCCTAATGGTCAGCTGAGGTGCTCTGATCAACAGAGAAAACAGTATTGTATCTATAAAACTATAATAAGCACTTTGGTCTGCTCTAATTCATTATAAAAAACAGTGTGAAGAATCTACATTATCAGCTCCAACATCTACCTTTACCAAAGCCATGAAGAGTACAGAATTCTACACCATGAATATTCTTTGGACAATTTTAAAAGCAAAACTCAATATAGCAAAGCATTATGTAACCATAAGCAACCAACTTCTGGGTAAGTTGTATTGTACATACTGTGCTTCTAAGGTCAGACACACACACCTGAAACAAAAGTGGTACCTGGAAGATATCCGGGGAAGGGTTCTCAGAGTCAGACGAGGCTGAAGTTCCATCTCCTCCGTGGTGGTGATGGGGCTGTTCCTCATACAGGGCGATGATCTGCTCTCTGTCATCTGCCACATCATTGAGCCGGTCGTCTGGGTCTAATATCCCTCCATCCAGTTGTTTGAGGTTGTGAACTGTTACCCAGGAGTCTGATGGCTGTAAAGAAAAACAAAAGAATTAAACCACACATATTTAAGACACACTGACAATACTAAAAACATTTTAACCAAATACTGAAATGGAGTTTTGTGTGAGACTAGTTTGAAATTTATAAAAATAAAAGTAATTACACTTTTCATTGTTTGAAGTATGTTGTAAATGAATATGGTACTTATACAGTTTTTAAATGACAACATCAGTGAAGAGCAAATCTTAAATCAGACAAACAAAACCTGTAAAAAATTATCAAATATTTTTTCTTATACAGTATTGGCCAGGTTGTGTCACCATTTACATTCAGTTAACTTCACATTTTAGGTGGAAGAAGCTTAATCAAATACGTACAATACAGTATAGTCTCAGTTTACGCAGATTTCTTATACGTACATGTACTCGGTTGGTCACTTACGCGGCACCTGTCCAGATCGCCCAATTATTGATTCAGCGGTAAATTCCAGCATTTACACGGAAGCGGCGGACAAGCTGCTTTCGTTCGGCTCTTCACGTCAGATGACGTATCGGACTGTGATCGGCCCGCGCATCCTTACCACCCACATTCCCTCTGCCGCTAGCTGTGATTGGTCTATTTAACCCTTGCCCAGTCAACAAAACATTACAGTTCTTCACCGCCACCACAGCCAGCCCAAGTCAGTGATAGTGAGGATATGGACTTTGAGGGGTTTGACAAAGAGGCCCTGCTAGCCCCTGTGGTGGGTATTGATACAGGTGATACAAGTAATACAGGTGAGGGCCAATAATCTGCCCTCTGCCTCGGAACCAACCCACCATCCCCGTGTGCCCAGCCATCTCTTCTACTTATGTTAAGTGTTAAAAAGCCTAATATTATTGATATTTCTCTTAAATATTAATTGTGTGTGCATACCATCACAAAATTAAGATGTTATTTTTACCACAACGTACGTATTGTGTCGGAAAAAGGGTAGTCTGGGGGTCGGCCCAGTCTCTATTTCAATTAATCCCATATGTTCTGTTATTTCGTTTCCGGCGTTTCTCGTTTTACGTGGACCTCCACGGGTTTAATTGACCGCGTAAACCGAGACTATACTATACAGTATTATATTCATTCAAGCACAAATGTTGACCATCAGTACAAAGTGTGAGAGAAGTAAACACACAGGCTCATTGTTCCTTGATACAGAAGTCAGCCAAGGAAAGTGATGAGTTGTGCTTAGAACCAGTTACAACTAGACCTCGTTGTTGCATATTACACGACATATATGGTGATACACAAAAATGAATGGCACATACTGTACAGTATATATAAACATAAGTGACGATGTTGGCTGATGATGACACACATGTTAAACGATTTGTACATACAGTACATGGATGCAAATGAAAAATAGACGTACAGTACAGTATATAACACGTGAACATTATGAATTATACTTGTAATATACCCCTGCCATATTGTACCAGTCCCCTAGTCAAAATGTACCGTTCCCATTGCAGGATTACCTACAGTGGAAAGCAAAAATGGTACAATTGATGACACAACCCTCCTGAAATGCTAAAATGTACTAAACCAGCAAGTATTTGTGTTAAAAGAAAACATTTCTCATGTGTACACTGGGTATGCAATTTTAGGTTTTGCGCACACATTTTTAATCTTTTCACTGTGGCAATATAAACACAAAAAACATTATTCAACACAATTTCGGTTATTGTTTATGTTGAATAATATAATTTTTATATTTTCCAGAATGAAAAATCAAAACTTTGATATGAATCTTAGAGTTACAGATATAATTTAGATATGTACAGTATAGGTCATAGGCAGCTACCAAACAGGGAGGTACTACCGCCTGGGAAGACATTGGAAGCATAATGTATTGTCTAATGGTAGACCCTGCTGCCATATGGCACCAAGTCCCAGGTTGCTGATCTGACTTTCTGCCTCATTTACACACAATTGCAGGGTCTCAATTGTTTCTCTTACTTTGACAACACAACATATACATATACTGTATTGTTTCTCACTTTTTATTTATTTTTTATTTATTATTATTATTATTATTATTACCGTATTATTATTATGATTATTATTATCATTTTTAATTTATTATTTTATTTTCATTTTTTATTTTTTATTAAATTTTATTTACTATGAATTATAATTATTATTATTATTAAATTTTCGCCCCCCAGGCCCTGATGTGGGTTAGTGACCTGTGCCTGGGTGAGCTAATCAACGTAAAAAAAAATAAAATAAATAAATAAATAGATAAAAAAATATTTTGTGTTCTTCCCGTTGTTTTGGTTTTCCTGGAAGACGTTTGGAAGAGCAAGCAACAGGCTGAGATATTACAGCATGGGGAAGAAAGGCAAAAGACATTGACCACCCTAATGCTAACCTAACAATAACCTGACCTAACAAGGGCGGACTCCCCCTTTTCATCAGAAAATTACAATACAGGGTACTTTTCTTTAATGCAGTAGTGTACTCAGGCATTTGTGTATAGTAAAAAGTAAATTCTAGTGACCTTAGAATATCTCCTAATATTAAGTGCACATGGCCTCAAAATGCTCATGATATTGGTCAGATTAAAAAAATTAAGAGGGCTTACAGCATCCCCCACCCAGCTGGGTGAGCTCACTGTGCCCACCATGTTCCCCCCACCCACAACTTTTTGGACCCCCTCCTTTTGATATTCCTGGCTCCGCCCCTGCTATAAACCAATAATGTTACCTAGCAATCAACACTAACCTAATAACACTAACACCCCATTTAACGTTTGGACATTTAATCATTAGATGAAATAAGCTGGGGGTTGTAATCTTCATGTGATCCATAACCTACATACCAACTAACATTAATCATTAGTACTGTACTTATAAATTAAAGAAAAACAAGAAAAACAATATCCTGTCATTAAAACAGATCAAATTGATTCAAAACAACAGTGAAATGACTTTTTAAGTATAGCACTGCGACACCTACAGCAAGACCACTATATTACATTATACCTTGAGGCTACGTCCTTGAATAATTTAACTGCGAGAAACTATCTACCTGTCTCGGCACTACTCATTAACCTCTTGTAAAGTATTTGTTTTCACATAAATTAGCAGGTATTAGGCAGCTACCAAACAGGGAGGAAATACCGCCTGGGAAGATATTGTAGCATAATGTGTTGTCTCAGTGCCGGATTTAGACCTGTGGAGGCCCATGGGCAGCCTCTTTGTGGAGGCCCCCCTCATTATAACTACCCAAGGGGATGGGGTGGCGAGTGAAAAGCGACCCTAAACATCTGGAAGTTCGGGGGCGCTGTAAGCCCCCCGGGAATTTTTTTAAATTTGAACACTTCTTTGGAGAATTTTGAAGCCATATGCAGTTATACTGAGGAAATTAGAACATATTGTAATATGTGGAGGCCCCCAGATTGCGGAGGCCCCTGGGCAGCTGCCCACTTTGCCCACTCCTGAATCCGGCCCTGTGTTGTCTAATGGTAGACCCTGCTGCCATATGGCATCACGAAAATTGTGACCAAGTCCCAGGTTGCTGATCTAACTTTCTGCCTTATTTACATACAATTGCAGGGTCTCAATTGTTTCTCTTACTTTGACAACACAACATACATATATTGTTTCTCACTTTTGATCTTTTTTCATTTTTGTATTTCTTTATGGTTCTTTGTTATTATTATCATTATTAATATTATCAATATCATTATCATATTTTCGCCCCCCAGGCCCTGATGTGGGTCAGTGACCTGTGCCCGGGTGGGCTAATCCCCGTAAAAAAAATTACTACAGAGTGTGTGTGTGTGTGTATATGTGTGTGTGTGTGTGTGTGTGTATGTGTATATGTGTGTGTGTGTGTGTGTGTGTACGTGTGATTGGGTGTGCGTGATTGGGTGTGTGCGTGATTGGGTGTGTGTGTGATTGGGTGTGTGTGTGTGATTGGGTGTGTGTGTGTGTGTGTGTGTGTGTGTGTGTGTGTGTGTGTGATTGGGTGGGTGGGTGTGATTGATTGTGTGTGTGTGATTGGGTGTGTGAGTCTGTGTGTGTGTGTGGATTGGGTGTGTGAGTCTGTGTGTGTGTGTGTGTGATTGGGTGTGTGAGTCTGTGTGTGTGTGTGTGTGTGATTGGGTGTGTGAGTCTGTGTGTGTGTGTGATTGGGTGTGTGTGTGTGATTGGGTGTGTGTGTGATTGGTGTGTGTGTGTGATTGAGTGTGTGTGTGATTGGGTGTGTGTGTGTGTGATTGTGTGTGTGTGTGTGTGTGTGTGTGATTGAGTGTGTGTGTGTGATTGTGTGTGTGTGATTGGGTGTGTGTGTGTGTGTGTGTGTGTTGTGTGTGTGTGTGTGATTGAGTGTGTGTGTGTGTGTGTGTGTGTGTGTGTGTGTGTGTGTGTGTGTGTGTGTGTGTGATTATGTGTGTGTGTGTGTGTGTGTGTGATTGGGGGTGTGTGTGTGTGATTGGGGGTGTGTGTGTGATTGGGGTGTGTGATTTATGCATACGTAAATGTTTCCCCAGACAAGGACAACAGAGGTTAACAAAGCGTCACAGGATAATGTTACGCTACTATGTCAAACAAGTAGGGACAAACACCAAGTCAGGATGGAGGAAAAGGCTGAAAGATCACGCCGATTCCAGACAGTAGCCGAAAGTAACATGATATGCCTGTATATTTATCATGAACTGTGGCCTTGCATAGAGTACATATGAAGGGACCAAAATGACAAATACGAGAAGGGAGAATAAAAGGAAGAGACGGGAGAAGATACAAGAAAGATGGGGAAGATAAAGAGAAGGAGGAGTAATGGGGAGAGAGGAATGAGGGCGTGTGCATGAGGGGGGTCAACGTTCTTGTTGCATGATGCTCTGTTGCCACATCCTCCACATTTGCTGATCTCCTCTTGTTCTCACGGCACCCGCGTCCTTCCCCTTATATTACACCCCTCACCTTCAGTCGCTCACCCAAAGTCTAGCGTCATCTTATGTCAATATCGGCGGCATCCATCATGAAGGCTCACAAAGCCACTGTCCATCCTCGCACACAAGTCATTCTACTTCCAGTTCTCTGCCGTATGGTTGACACACACACACAAAATGATGCTATGTGCTCATTTTTTCTTCATTTTGAATGTTTATCTATTTCTTATACGTGTGTGAGGTGAGGAGGACAATCCGGGTTAGCTCCGGTGACTGTCTCTCGGCTCGGGTAGGACTGGAGGGTGAAGGAGTGTGCGAGGCGTAGGACAATCAGGGAACTCCCCACCACCTCCACTCTTCACCCCACCACTCCTTTTACACGTCACAAACCATTTCCTGGGTGTCACGGCCTCGGGGAACAATTTGCAACATCCGCAAAGGAACCCAGATAATCTGACCCCTTGTTCACAAGGAAAATTGCACAAAATCAACTTTCAAACTCGAATAAGTCAAATCTAAGGAAACCTCGGTCAACACAGGACGTGCTCCTGCCATGTGAGAACGTGGACACTAGTAGTCTTCTTCACAACACAACAGTGGGTCGCGGCCAGTCATGAGATGCACATAAATCACTGGCTCAGCTCCAGCGGCACAGTTATGATATAGTAGGTGGGCCAAGCTGAGCCTCGTCACATTGGTGCGACAAGAGCGGGTGGAGGCGGCCAAGTGGGTGTCGCCCACACTGTACAACATACACTCCCCACTACCTCACTCTCCCCACTCCTCTGTCAACCACTAGCACCGTCACACAATAACACTCGGTCACAGATAAAGTAAGGCGTCCATACCGGGCCCAGCAGCAGCATCGACATCCCCTCACGGCCGTGGCTAATGGCAGACTGTCGCGCGCGCGCGTGTGGAGTTCCCTGAGTATCTCCCCACCTGGCTCCCCACCGTCCTTTCCACAATACAGGTGGGAACCTCCTTACAACTGACCGATACATTGTCTCATTTACCGCTTTTCCTTCACATGCACCCATCTCTCCGTCGAGTGAGCAAGCTTCATCACAAGTTCATGTGAGTTGGAGGTGCAGGTGGGAGGTGCGCGTACCAGGAGACTTGGCGAGACACCTGGCCAACTACGGTCCAGTAAGAAGTACGGAGGCGCTGCCGCCCACAAAGGTCATGCCACCGAAAGCAAGGTCAAGGTGGTCATGTAAGATCCAGTTATTGTTCAAGCAAAATAAATGTTGGGGTCAACGGCGTTCATCTCAGTGATTATAGGCCATGGGGTAATGCTATAGCTCATGGGCTTTTTTCTTAAGTGACACAACTGGTATTATTGTGGACCGCTCAGCTGTAAACAGTCCTCTTGGTTGTGCCAATTTGCACATCTGTCTTTTCACTTTAAAGCTTGTTCGCGTGATAACCCCAGCACCTCTGGACTGATTTTGGATTTGAATAAAAGCGCCAGCGCTTTTAGTTACAAAATATGCTTATTAAATAGTTAATTTGCATTCTGTTCAGTTGCAGCCGCGGTACACGCATGTTCTGTGAAGGAAGTGGTTACAACCCCGTCTGCGGAGCTGTAACACTGGGGCGTGCATGGGTTAACACCCACAACAACAGAGCCCTCAACTTGAGGGCTCTGTTGTTGTTATTATATTATTTCGGTGATAGTGCATCTGGCGTCGCCGATGCTTCCTTTATTACTGATGGACTAGGGAAGGTACACAGAAAAGCGTGTCCTGACAATGTCACCTACACTCAAACCAGGCTTCCTATCACCATGGAAATGATGAATCGATCGCAGACATCAGGCAGACACGTGAGCCCGGCGTCACGTATCACAGCTAGGTATCTGCACCTGGTTTCTCCGCAAGATTATTTATGTGTATACTTTGTAGCCTTGGAAAACGGAGGCCAACATCAAACATCAAGATGGTAGGCACGGCATCGACACAGTGGGTTCGGTCCATAAGAATGGTTCTCATTAATAACATCTTTCCGAAGTTAGTTTGTGGTGATCTGAGAATGACTCGCTTGAGTTTTATTATATCAACTAAAATAACGACACTTATGATAAGAAATAATAACAAGTTGCTTTTCATGGTTACATCACTGGACACTCACTGAAATAAAGATCAATATGATTCTTCCTGATCAAAGATGATGATTATAAGAATCTTCCCCAGTCATCTATCTTGGCTCAGGCGGGAACCCCCACTGCTCCTGAGTTTGTTAAGTTACAATACTTTCTGTTCATCTCAATTTCTCTACTGTGGTCTACAATACAAAGCGCCAAGCATATTTTCTCTTAGCCCAGTTTAGCGTTAATGAATTATATCGCATTCCTGGATGAGACGATTGGCTTCAAAAGGGAATGATTCTCGGCAAACAGTCAAGAGTCCTTTGTCTACCACTCCGTTTCATAACAGATGCAGGTACGAGCAGCAGGGACACGCAGTCACTACACTGCATTAAAGAAAGGTAAATCCGTTATTCACAGTGTTGAGGGGTTGTAGGGTTCAGTAGTGGACACACCTGACCTTGCTGGACCGCCCCACCTCCGCATATTGAAGTCCGACAGAAAACGGCACGAATTCGATTGATACCATGGATGACTGAACACTTCCAGTGGAACAGTTCAATAATATTTAAATTTTTCTCATTTATGTTATCGTAATCATGTTTAAAATCGAATGATTATTTAAAATAGTCCCAAATCATTACAGATTTCACTTTAAAAATAATATCTTCATACCCTAGGGCTTCCTCCGGGATATTTTTCACAAGTATATTTTCATTAGTAATTTAAAAAAGTGGAACTTCCAGATTATGCCAAATGCCCCGCCACTGTTTACGCCCAATCGGAGTTCGGCATACTGGTAAAAGTTTATCGCTGGGCAAGGTCTGATTTTATCAGCAATGGAAGACGGAGCAATGTATTGTTCAGTCGTTCGTTCCTGCTTAAATCAGTTAATTTTTCTTTAATTTGCCAAAGCCATGAAGGAGTGTAGGCTGAGGTGTGAGGAAAGGCGTTGAGAGGTTCTGGATTTGTTACAACAAATAAAACAGATACACTGAGGAAGAACGAGGCTCTGAACTACTTAGTACAGTGGTGCCCTTTAAGTAAGACATTACCTCATCCCCATACTGGCTGTGTTAACAAAACCAACCCCAGGAGGCTACGGCTCTCATCCTTTAACCAGCCAAATGTTACTCCAGCGAGTTTAGGTTACATTAGTTACTGGACACCTTTAGTTCATAGCCTCCCTGAGTCTGCTTTGTTGACGACACTTCCCCACTTGGTGTGCTGATATAGCTTACAATATATTAATAAAATCACTCTGGTTTTCTTTCCTCCTCACACACATTAATTCTAAACATATAACAAACATCACTAACATGATAAAACTACAGTTTCGGACAATACGCCCCGGTAGTTGAGCAATGTGTTTTTCCGATGGTTTAGACAATTTTAGAACACTTTTCTTCGCTGACGTTTCCGTCGCAAATGACCTAAAATTACCTAACCTAACCTCCTAACCGGGGGGCTCGGCCCCCTGGATCCCCCAGTATATTTAATTAATTTGCGAGGGAAACGTCATAGAAGAAAAGTGTCTTAAGACTGTCTAAACCATCGGAAGAACACATTGCTCAACTCAAGATCCATATTGTCCGAAACTGCAGTTATACCAAGAGTTCATAGAAAACACAGAATGGTGTAGTTAGTCACACTGAACACTTAACACAATTATTACATGCTCAGTGTCAAACCCCTTCACCTTCACGTCTTGAGTGCACAGTGGCTCGGTTTGAGACTTAACCTTGCCCAGCACCTGTTACACCACTACCTCCTCCTGCTACCTCTCCTATGAGGAGGCGCCCCCTTACCTGTTGACTGCTGAGGGTTTTGTGCCTCTTGTGGACGTTGTAGGAGTGGGTGCGAAGAAAGTCTGGCCAGCTTCTCTGCCACGTTCACCACGTCAGAGTAGTGCAGCTTCAGCTCCCCGGGGATGTTTACCACACTGCGGGAGCTGCTGCCGCTGCTACTGGTGGTGGTGCTGCTGCACGTCGAGGTCCTCGGGGGCCTGATGGGGTGCGTGGGAGGCACCGCCACACTACGACTCCTCATGCGCATGATGTAACGAGCACAAAGGTGATGGTTTATAACGCCTCACACACAGGGTGGATTCCAGATCACAATTCAATGGCTCTGTCAAGTGTCGTTTATGATGGCACCTCACAGTTAGGTCTTATCACATCCACGTTTCTTTTCTACACAAGTATTTCTAACAAGTATCATCAACTAATGATACAGGTAGTCGTACTTCCCTCACTTGTATTCCTTCGCATCTACGACACAGTTGAACCTGTTCAACCCGTCGAGAGCGTCCACAGTGTACACAAGGATCACACGTCCATCATCACATGGCGTCCGTCTGCCGAGGCTTAATAAGTTTCCCGAGGTCACTTTTATCTGTCGCTGCCGATTCCATTGGCTGCCTGTAAGGTATATATCATAACACACTGGAGCTTCACGAGATAATATGTAAAATACCACAATAAAATCCATGACAGGTTGACCAGGTATATAAACCATTCCGCATGGCCTGGGCGTGTGTTGAACTGACCGGGGCGGGCGGGCGGGGGGTGAGGTGGGCGGGGCAACAGGTCCAGATTTACAAAGATTACGAACGTTAATTTTATCCCCTAACAGGTGTGAAGAACATATCTAATAAAATTAAAGTCTTAAGTTAATGTTGACACCATTTTGTACGCGTTCTAACACCTCTAACTAAAGGATGAAATTCGACTTACGATCCTTTGAGAATCCGGATCCTATAAACTAAAACCACCATAACTGCTGCTCACTTGTTTATGCCCGCTTCCTACACTTATAGCATACACCCACAATGCAACACACAATACACCGCTTAAACCTCACATTGACTTTATCCATTAATATCACTACGCTTACACAATACACAATATACCCGAAATAATAGTGAATCCCAATGCAACATTTTTTTTAGGCCGTCACAATAGTAAAGATAGGTGATGCAAGAACGACATTTATCAGTGTTGCCAACTCTAACACACACAACACCAGTATTACCAACTCAAACAATAAGTCACTGACACGTTCTAATATATTTAATGTCTGATGATGTTCAGGTAATTGGGTGAAGGAGCATGGTGTTTATTTTCGAATATAATAATAATAAAAATAATAATAGTAATGATAATAATAAAATAAGGACAATAATAAAAGTAACCACAATAATAATAATAATAATAATAATAATAAAGATAATAATAATAATAATAATAATAATAATAATAATATATCACTGTTCTTATGACAATAGATTTTAATAATTTTCCCTTTCACTTAACACCTCCCCTAACAACACAAACAACTACAGTACTACAACAACACTGACATTAAATTGTCTTACCTGGAATACAATATACTACAAAGTCAAGCTATTTAAAGGTAAAATGAATACCTGACTTGTAGCTTTCACATAAATTACCCAGGAAAATGTTCTTTGCCCGTGGTGAGGGTATTGTAATCGGTTTGTGCGTGAGTCACTACAATGATTGATTTTTTTCTTTTATTTAATGTTGATAATGAGTAGAGGGGGGGGGGATTAAACCCCACCCCTCTTCCTAACACACCCTCTCCCTGTCCCCAACACACTCTTTCTCTCTGTCCCCAACACACTCTCTCCCAGTCCCTCATACATAATCTTGGGAAAATATTTCACACTCTCTCACACTACCTGACGGTCACACTTAGTCAAGGCCAGTGTGTATTTTCTTATGTTTCTCCGTCCGTCATTATCATACCGGTGTTCTTTTAAGCCTTTGGAGAACGGT